GATGAGCTTTAAGGTCCCTTCCAACCCAACCCCTCCTGTGATCCTGTGATATTTCTGCACTGTGGGAGCTGGCAAAGCCCAGGCAACACAATGATATTCTCAGTACAAACAACAACAGAATAGCCATTTTCCATGGGTGAAGATGGATAAAAGAGTATTATTTAGAACTCCTTGAGTGCTAGGATTCAGACAGTTCATTTAGTAGTTTTTAGATCTCCACTATTATTTTTCTTTGTGTTGGTCAAAGGACAAGACTTGTTCTTGCTTATTATACAGCCCTGCATCTTGCCTTTGGCAATTCCACTTCAGCTGGTTACACCTCAGCTTCCAAACTATACCAGCAGAACAAAGAGAGCTATTTACCTTCTTATGTACCTGGGGCTAAATGCTTTCTGACCATAACAGACATGAACTACTATTAGAAATCTGCCTTACAGACCATGTCTATAAATGCTTGAGAAGACAGGCTCAAAAGCAACATTTCAGAGATCAGAAACTAAATGCAAAGGAACAGAAACTAAATTCCTTGAAAGATCTATAAGTAAAAAAACACAACAGACACATTAATTATTTAGCAAAACTCAGATGTCCATTAATGGCCACTTAGATGGTGTTTTGGCAGGATATCCTATCTCCTGGATCACTGGTGTATCCCTGTTTTCCTTTGGTGGGTTTGTGAGCCATTTCTCCTGCTCCTGTCACTGGGGTGAGGCTCTGCAGTTCCCTGCCTTGCTCTGAGTGGTTTCTGTTACCATCCCCACCCCTAGAGCCAGCACCCAAAAAGCCTTCCCTGGATGGCTGAACAGCAAAATGAGTCACAGCCCTGGGGACAAAGGAGCTCTAGCAGATATTATTTTTTTCAGCTGTAAATCAGTGAAGCCTCATTTTACTAAAATGTGGGATTGAATCTTCATCTCCCTTGGCCAGCAGAGCTTCCCAAGGTGATGGAGATGTGGCCAATGAACACAGAAATTTGGAGCAGGAACATTCCATGCTCTTGGGTGCCGCCTGCAGGCTTTGGGGCTGCAGCAATAACGATTTCAAACCAACACTGAATGTAGTCACTTGGGCAATAAAAAGGGGACTTACTACACTAAAATTCTAAAGAAATCAAGGAGGGAAAATATGAGCATTTTTTGAATCAGTTTTTAGTAAGAAGAAGCTGAGATGGGCATTTTTTTTCTCACAATGAGTCTTCATGATGATTTAAACCCAAAAGGTAAAATTTAATAAACAAGGCAGAGGGCCATAAACTCACACATATCAACCAGGGAGGAAACAGGCACAGGAGTATCCCCAGATGTTGCTCCCTCTAACACAACATTGTGCTTTGACGAGGCCTCACAGACTTTCAGCCACATAAATGCCTCTGAGGATACTCATTCCAGCCCCAAAAGCTAGACCACATATGGAGACTTACAAAGTTGCTGCTGTTTTCAAGCTCTTTTCTTCCTTTCTTTTTCTCCATTCATTGTTGTACTGCTCCAAGCTTCTTGGAGTACAGAAGTCCAGAGGCTCTGGCTTCAGTGTCCACAGAGAACCCCACCAAAGGTGTGATAACAGAGCAGGAGCAGTGATGTGGCACCTGGACACGTGGGTTGGGGCTCCCTGCCCATGGCCAGTGGCTCTCCTGGAGCTCTGACATTATTAGTGCCTTCCTGAACCTCTTTGTTCTCTGACTTTGTCATGAGACCTGCAAACAGTTTCTCAAAGGGCTCAGATTTGTTCTGGCAGCCACCCATGTTTGCCTGCTCAGGTCCTCTGGGCCTGAGGCTGCTCCTGTCCCCGTCCTGCTCCTGTCCCACCACTTCCTCCCTGTCCCTGCTCGAGGTACCACTCAGCTCATACTGACCCAGCTAAAAAAACACAGGGGGGTTGTTTATGGAGCACATGGCACAGTCAGAGTCAAAGACAGCTCAGAGGGGATGTGGGGGCCCCCCAGAATAAGTAAAAGTCCTTAGTGATGTGCAGCTCCCTTGGGCAGCTGAGCCCTGCTGGGCACGTGGGGTTTGCCCTGTATGTGAGGGGCTGGAGGGAATGAACCCCCTGCAACACTGCATGGGCCAGTCCCAGCTCTGAACCAGGTGGTAAGGTAAGGGTAAAGGTAAAAGGAAGGCAAAACAGAAGGGGAAGGAGTTAAAACAATTCCAACAGTGGAAAAATTAATTTACCTTTTCTGATGATCTCAGACCCAGTGTTGGATCGTGGCTGTACTGACCTGTGACATCAGTGGCCATTAAAACCTAGCTTTCCAAATCCTATTTTCTTTTAAGGAAAGAAGGTTGTCCTATACTCCTCTTCCCCTGGAAATGTATGCTCAGTTCTATACAGAACAGTAGATTTTGTTTCAAAATAGATTTAAAATTGTTTTCATGTTTTTGCCAGCTTGATTCAAACTGCAAGCACTGATTTGGTTTTAAAATTTATAGAATCATAATAAAGTCTGAAGGTTACTGGTTTACTGGTTGTTTTGGTTTTTTTTTTAACTTTATAACTGGGAGTTATATTTCTTGTATAAATATAAAGGAGAAAGGAAAAGAACATGACGAGGGAATAATAGATCAGATGAACCAGAAATACAGAACTGGTAAGTCTGGAAGAAGACTATATTAATTTTAAATCCTTTTTTCCACCAGAAAAAGTGGAGCCTTTTACTACTCTGAGAATTTTTCATGGCAATTGCTGCATTGTCCACCCGACTATATTCAACTTAAAAAAAATAGCACTTCAAGAATACATTTTAACCATCACTCATAAAATATAGTCTTTTCTCCTTTTCAGTGCTTTCTCTCATATGTCAAAGTCTCTGCCAGAAGTTCAAGGCCCTTTTCATTGAAAAAGGAAGAAGAGAATGAGGCAGAAGCGAGAGTGAGTTTAGGGGGGATGGAAAAAGGAAGAGAGAGGAAGAGCCCTGACACAGCAGCTTGGGAAGGGTTCAGTGTCCTGTTGGAAATCTGCCCAGGGAGCCCCAGGAATCCCTCAGTGACCCCCAGGCCTGGCCAGAGGGGTTTGTCAGGAGCACATGGAAGAGCAGCAGGGCTGGGAATGGGCTGGGAATGGGCTGGCAGGGCAGGGATCTCCAAAACCAGCCCCACAGAACACACAGGGCCATCCCTGGCAGGCTCTGGCTGCACACTGGGATTGACCCAGGGATGGGCAAGGAAAAAGGGGTAACAGGTGTCCAGTTGGCAATTACCACTTAGCTTTATAATATTAATAAGTGCCTGAGTGATATTTTGTTTCTGGTTTAGGCTGAAGCCTCTCTCTTGTTTCTTCTTCCTCTGGAAACTAAAACACCAGCCCAAAGTCCCTAAAACATGGCCACTCATTTTTATCTCCTCTCCTTATTCAGAGACATTTCTGCTGAAGAACAAAGAACTAGATCTAAAATGGACTTAGGGAAACCATTATGATTGCTTTCCTTCTCTTACAGAAAACCAGAAACTTGAGTGTTACATCCATGTGAGAATGTGTAGGGGGAAGAACAAGGATTAAAGATCTGTCTTTATGGAGTATTTTTTCATCCAGAGGATCCCAGTGGCCTCAGCATCACCAGTAACACTAATTTCACTGGAGAGTTATGAGCCCACAGTGAGTAAAGGATATGCAAGGCACCAAGAAAACAAGGTCCAAGGGAGCTGGAACTTAACAGCTTCACCAGTGAAGCTCACAGAAAAACCCAGACAAAAAACCACAAGAAATTAAGAAATAAAAACTCCTTTGAGGATGCTGCCAATGAACAATGCAATGATTCCCATCAGAAAATAAGAATAAGACATTTAAAAGACATATCACTCACTTCTGAAATGCAGGGAACTGTGTGGTGCCCAGAAGGCAGTCGGGTCCCATCACTGTGTGACAGGCTCCAGGAAAGGAAGGACCAGATCTGTGTGACACTAGAGTGGAGATTTGGAACAGGAAGTTGGTTAGGAACGAGAGCAGCAGAATAAATATAATGGTAATGAGAAGGGAAACAAAAACACAGAGTGATTTTTAAATATCTAAAAAAAAAATATCGGCATTTAGAGCAAAACTGGGAAGTATTGGCTTCCTTTTTTCTACAGCTAATTTACCATTGCTTCCACACCATAGACTTGTCAGGGGCAAATCTGCCTTTTCCCTCAGCCTGTGGGAGAGGATCAAAGCTATCTCCTCGGCTCCAGCTCCTTTTAAACACCAGATTATCCTCATGCAATGCAACCTCAAGTCCTCCACTCTGACCAGTCCCATTCCTTCAGCTGCTTGGGTTTATTCTCTGAAGTTTGTATCCTGGAGTCCCAGTAGCAGCAAAAACAGCTGCCAAAATCCTGGGAATATCTGCCTTGGAATCTCAACTACTGTGTGAAGCTGCTGCTCTCCAGTTTGAGATTTGTGTTTGCAAAGGAAATCTGTCCAACAACAACATCGAGAGAGGAAAAAAGGAGGAAAAGGGCTTTATATAACAGAATTAACAGAGTTGTTGCAATAGTAACGTGTAGTTAACAGGCAACTTTTCCTCCTCCTTCTCTGCTTCCATCCCAACCTCCTCCTCTAACAGCAATTTCATTTGTTTTTATTTCCAAGCTTCTTTTACTGGCCACTCACACAGACCCGCTCCCTTTGTCTAATTTGGATCTCAAACTTCCATGCAACAGACTCTTGCTGTAACTGTAAATCTTTTTATGGCCCTTCTGCCTCTGAACTGTAAAAGCAATGCCACTGTAAGCTGCCTAAATGGGTCATAAATCCACTTAGTGCACTGAATGAGGGAAAAAGTTTTTAAGGGAAAGAAGGAAAAAAAAAAAGAGGCAAACTAAGGTGGCTGGAGGGACACAGGGGAAAAAAACCCCAAGAATGTATTTGCTAAATGGAAACAACATCACAGGAGTCAAAGGGAAAATATGAATGCTGGGGGGGGTAAAGGATGAAATAATGCATCTTGGTGGTGAAACCCAACTGCTGCTGCAGGGCTGGGCAGTCCATCAACACTCAGCATTCAGGGGAGGATGGTGGGTGCCCTCTCCACTCCTGTTGGCACCAGCAGGATCTGGTAGCACCAGGAGAGGCTGTGAGCTTGCTAGCAGCCAATTGACTCTCTTTTTCCACTGGGTGGTCCAAGGACTGGTATCTGGGGCTCATTCCAGCTCTTTTGCACTGCCTGACTCCAGGTTTAGTTGTGGCTCTGTGTCTCAGTTTATTCCATTCTGTAAATGGGAGATAAAGATATTCCCCTTATTTGTAAAGGGTTTTGAGAGCTGCTGAAATGCCACCAGGGAGGGGCAGAACTGATTCCAGTGGCAGTCAATAGCAACAGTTTAATTTGTTTCTCTGGAAGCAGAGCTGGCCCAAAATGGGCCACTTTTGTCTATGTAATTTATTGCATTTGTCACCATGGTATCTGAGCTCTAAGAGTATTATCCAAATTCCACTGAATTCACTGAGTGTCTTTCTACTGCTTTCAATAAGTTTTGGATTTGACCCTAAAGTCACCAAAAAAAAAAAAAAACAACAAAAAAACAACAAAAAACGAAACCCAAACCTGAGGAATATGTCAAAAGAATGTAAGTGGGTGTGAGTTGAAATTGAGGAGTTTGGAGACGGGAGTATGCAGAACAGTAGCTATTTAAAGACCAAGTTTGCTACTGAGTGTTCCCTTTTAATAGGGTTATATAAATACATTCCCGTCTCGATGCATGTGGAAAAACAGGCAGTGAGGTGAGACTCTATTGCTTTATTTCTTATGGGAAACACTGTGCACAGCTAAACCACCTCTTCCCCTTTCCTCACCCACCACCCACAGTCCCTGGAAGCCTCAGCAGCTGTGCAGGGTGAGGAGGCACGTCCGGGAGCACAGAGAGTTAAAAAGTTCACAGCCCTGGCCTTAAATAAAGCCCCTGTTTTCACTGTGTTCTCACTTCCTTACAGCCTGGATGGGAGTTTTGGCACTCAGCATGTCAGAATGGGAGGGGAGGCTGGTTATGCCTTATTGTTATTATTATTATTTGACTGGTCTGCTCCCTTGCAAGGAAAAGAGAAGGGAAGAAAAACGTTCTTGCTTGGCTCTCTGCAAGGACCAAACGAGTTCCAGGGCAGCTGCCTCGGGCCAGGGGAGCCCCCTCAGAAACCACTGCCCCAGTGGGCACGAGCTGGCATCTCAATTCCCATCCTCAGGACAAAAAGCCAGTGGCCAAAGAGGACTGTGAGATGAACCCTCTCATTTTCACCAGTACCACGTGTATGGTGCACTGACCAACAGCTCAGTTCAGGAGATTCTCATACTACAACTTAAAAGAATCCTATTAAAATGATGGAAATCTTTGACTATGAAAAGTGGGGTCTGCACCTGGATAGTAATTATGTTTCAAAGGAAATCCATCTGGTATTTTATTGCTTATTGTCTCCCTGCACTTTGTGTACGAGAACAATACCAGGGCTGGAATATTTCATACTGGGAGACTTCCAAAAAGCTGTTTGCACTCTGTCAGGCCAATAAGCCACATAGATTTTTGCAATATTATATCAATTATGGGTAATAAGTGGAACACACACTTTTTTAAAAACCTTCCTGAAAACACTGGTATGGATACTTGGAGCAGGCAAACTCCATCAGACTCCGTGGAGTTCATATGCCCAAAAAACAGTTAAGTCTTCGGCGTCTGGAAAGTTTAACAACTACAGCTAAAGTCAAGGGAAGCTTCTTTTTGCCCTCACCAGAGCCAGAGCAATGTGCTGCACTGAGGACTGACCCCTGAACTGGGGAGCAGGGCACAGATGGCACAGGGTGCAGCACAGGACAGGTCTGGGGATCCTCTGGCCAGGTGAGAACCAGCTCTGAGACCAAGACTCGTGTCCATGTGTTAACAACATCAGCCTGGAGCTGGGTCAGCCCTGGCCATGTGCAAACCACCATTTTATATTATAAAGAGCACACTTTAAAAAGAAAACTATAAAACTATAAAAGAATTGGGTACCACCTTTAAAGACTCTGGGAGTGCAACAAGAGCCTTAAAATAAAATCACATCCAGCCAGAGCGACCTGATGACAAGGCAACCTCTCCTTCACTGCCAACTCAAGTGATTTTGTTAATTCTAGGGAATATATCACAGGTCTCAAGATGACTGATGCTTTCATTGCTGCCTTGGCTTCAGCCATTAGGTGATTGTTATGAATCTCAACTTCCATTTTTTAAAGTTTTAGCTGTCACCATTCAAAGAAATAGTATTAAAAATAAACAATGAAAACTTAAAAGTAAGAAAGAGGGAAAACATAAGGTAATCCCTATGGAAAAGCAGAAGACAAATTAAAAAATGGTATTATAGTAATTATTTCTTACCTGTCTTGAACTTTTAGTGGTGATGTTTGATGGCCAGAGCAGAGGTTACTGGCTGGCTGACAGCAGCAATGTTACTGCAAATTAAACCCATGCAACAGAATTTGGCTATAATCTACATTTGCTTTAAATTTGTGCAGCCTCTAGTACAGAACTAGGAAACAGTCACAGATTTAATTTACTTTTCACTTCTGATGCTCTCTGCATATTGTGGGGGATATGGTTTTGGCAAGGAGTTTGCATTTATTAGCACGTATAAATTTACCGGGAATGTTTGGTCTTGCTGTTAAAGCTCAGATCTAGAAGACAGGAATATGTCAGAAGCTGAGTGTCATTTTTAAAAGCAAGCTTCAAACCCATGTATTTTTGTTTAAATATTTCACAAGTAAACCAACTGCACCTAAAAGAGTTGAGAAGGCAGAAACCAGACATGACCTGAAATATTCTTTCTAAAAACTTATTTAATTATTTCTGAGACTTGGAAACCTTATTCATGATTTCTATATATTTGTAATTGGAAATACTGCTGCTAACTGCTCGTCACTGTTTCACATGCCATCACCCAGAGGCAAGGACAGATTTCTTTCTCCCAAACCAAACTGGAGGGAGCAGATTTACTGCAATAACTTGCAGAGTCACACTTCAGCAGCTCAGAGTCACCAGAGGATGTTGGCACTCGGTGCCCTCCCCACTCCTGCCATGTAACAGCACTGCAGGCACTGCAGGCAGAGCAGCCCAGGGCTCTGGGGGGTGGGGGAAGATTCAGGGACGAGACTGTGCCACAACCACCCTGTGTGCCCCTGGCTGGCACAGACCAGCCCAAGCTCCAAGGAGAATCACACACCAGGGACCTGGACCTTCACCTCTGCTGCTTGAACTGCCAGTGGGACATGGGAGAAGCAGCATTGCCAAGGCACAAACCACTTCCCAAGGTGTAATGAAGGTAATTCAGTCAGAGCATCACAACACACGCTGGGGAGCTGGAATGGGCTCACCTGAGGACAGTTGGGGTGTTTGATGAGCAACATGTGCAGAGATACCAGCTCAGGAACTTGGACCAAAACAGGGTGAAGAAGCTCTTACAGTCTCACACTGCTGAGGTGGCTCCTCCTCAGATCATCTGGATAAGTCCCTGCTGTGCATCACTGCCCAGAGGGAGAACAGCACCACAGGAACATCACACTGGAGAGAAAAAAAATGCAACAGACATTGAAAATATTCTTATTTCTGAAATTTCCAAGAAGATATTCAGAAGTGTTACAGTTCAGAAAAGGCCTTTTATTCTTTCCTTAAGCAGGTATAGAAAACAAAAGAGATTTGGACAGAAATTTGTGCCTAGCTCTGAACTGCTGCTTTATATCTGCTTGCTTTGCTTTACTCCTCTTGCCAATTAGATGAAGAGAACAATTTATTGCGGGGTCAGCCTCAGCTTTTTGTTCCTGTCAGTTTATTTTGGATCAGATTCCTAAATTCACATACACAAACTCAAGCAACTCTTTACATCCACTCATAACCTGCCCACGCTGGTAAAGAGAAGAAGCCTCCTCTCAGCCTGAGGAGAACCTGCTGTGGGCAAACTCCTTCCCCTCTGAACCATAACCTTTGACTCCTCCTGGGGGGAGAAGGGAGAAATGCAATCAGGTGCAGAATTCCAATACATCCCTCTGGGGTGACAGACATCCAATTTCCAAGCAACCATTAAAAAGTCCATATGGAATTCCATCTTTAATATGAAGCAACAAGAAACAGGAAAACCCAGCAGGGAACACATGCTGTGTGTTACTCCTGCCTGGGGGCTTGGGCCAGTTCTGAGCCTTTCCAGGTGCTCTCTTCTCCACAGAGCACGAGCTGTGGGAAGGTTCAGCACACTTGGGGTGCTCTTACACTTTATTATTATTATTATTTTAACTAAGAAACTAGCTGCTTGGTCCATTTGAGAAGGGTAAGGTTTTGAGACAGATGTGGAAATATTCTGAAAACACAACAGTCAGGCAGTGGAACACATCCAAGATTATATGAAACATTAAGCGAGTGGAAAACATTTATTTTCCCATCTCATATTCCACCACAAACTTGTATTTCACAAGCTTATCTTCATATCTGCATTATAACTGAACACTAATTGTGTTTTTCTCCATATTTTTTTTCAGTAGATCCAAAATGTTCCAGCCTAGAGTCTCCACATCCATACCACAAGAAGTTGTTTTCTGCCCCTCTGGCATCAGCTGAGCAGGCAGGAGCCAGGGGGCAGTGCCAGAGACACTGATGGACTGAGGGCCACGCTGCAGCCCACAGGCCCTGCAAATGAAGATGAAATGAGGCTCCCTTGTGCAGCACATTGAGAAGATTTTGGCCCCCATTTCAGCGTGACCCAATAGGTTTAAATTGCTTCATTTCTCAGCCAGCCAAGAGCAAATGGGTGGTAGATGTGATATGGCTGTTCACTGGAAATCACCCCTGATTGATTTACCTTCTCCTCCCCGGCAGTGCAGGGGCTCAGTGTGTGGCTGGGGCACATAAATTACACAGAAAAACCCTTTGCTGGTTGTGTACAGTCTATATATGTTGTCACCCCATCAGAGGAGAAGCTTTTATGAAGTATTAGCTCTAAGTGTATACAGAACAGAAATGATCGGTTTTATTTGCTTGACAAAAGCTAAGTCACATTTCAAAGTAATAATTTTGAGCTAGAGTCAAGTAGAACCAAGTAACTTTGATCATTTTTTTCAAGTAAAGAAACAAACAAACAGAAAATGCTGCTGCTGGTTATAAAAACAACAGGAGAATTTTTAGGAGTTATTTTGTTTGTTTTTTTAAAAAACTAATAAGAGCTGTGAAATTCAAAAAGAGTTTTCAGTTTTCATTAGCAAGATTTCAACACTCTGGATTTGCTTTTGCCTTTTTGAAAGAAGACACAAAGACATTTCATTTTAACATGTTTGCAGAAAAAAAAAAAAATTGCTACCAGCACTACTACATTGTTATTTCTGGGAGATGAGTAACAATAGATTGGAGAATTATTCACAAGAATCATTTGGGTGATTTATGTACTTCATTGTGATTGGAACAAGGAGCTCATTTCAGGCTGTCATACTCACAGTGCTGTCCACAGATGGGTGTAGTGTTGAGGAGAGTCACTTGAACCCAAATTGTAAAGAACTGAGATTAAAACCTGGGAATAAAGCTTCAAGCCAAGGGGTGGGTTTGTCTCGGGTTTGTACAGCACAGGGAGCAGGGGCCTGACTCCAGCCTGCACTTCCCAGGGGACACAGCACTGACAGTCACACACACACACAGCACAAACTGGTCCCAGAGCAGGTCTCTGCTCCAGCCTGGCTGGAATGCACGGGAAAATCTGGCTTTGGGTGGAAGACCCTGTGAGAAGAAAAGGGAGGAAAAGATTTTGCAGGTCTGTGCTTAATAGTCATTAAAATCGGGCTTCAGATCAGGTAAATTAGGACAACCATGCAAGGTAAGATTTTCAGATTACCTCTTTTAGATTATCCCAGTTTTTAGGACACCCAAGTCCACCCCTCTCCAAGTAATAAGCCTCAAATATTTATGTAATGTGTCTCTCATTTCCATCCTTAAGCTCAAAACGTCAAAACTACCCCAAGTGAGATGACTTGGTTTTTTCCTTATCCAAGCCAGCTGAAGGCAACAGAGACCCTCCCTCCCCACCAAGGTCAGTACAGATTTACAAGATTCAGATCTATTTTAACATTTTGATGTCCCTTCAGTTCTGAAATCAGCCATGGTTCTGGTTACTGCAAAGTAAATAGTGCATCACTGCTGGCTGCAGAAACCCTGGAGAAAGTCAGAACACGGGATAATTAACAGCTCCCAGCAAACTTCCACTCTTCAGATCAGTGGGGTGAAGAATGGAAATGAATATATTTTAAGCATAAAATATTACTTGCCCTGTGTTGAACAAAACCAAAGACTCCAATGCAAAAAAATACCAGGAAATGTGACCAGACTCAGAACATTTCAATCAGATGTGTTACCCTACAAGTCATTTCAAGACAATTTGAAAACAAAATCAATGTTGCTGATATGGATAATAAACCTCTCTTTACAAATGCATTAATAGAAGTATCAGTTTAAAAAGAAAAAATGCAGTAAGATTATAAATTTATTAAGCAAAATCCATTGACTGAACAGTGCAGACTATTGTCAGCCACTTCTAGGACTTTGTTATGCAGTTCTTCAAAGCTTAAATAGCACAATTAATCAAACTAATTGCAAGCCTGGAAATTCTTTATTCATAACAGTAAATAACTACATCTATTAAGTAACTTCTTGTAATGTAAATCTCACTATTTAGGCTGATATTATCATGTGTTTTCCTCCTAATGGATTTAAAGTACCTGCAGTAAATAAGAGCCAAAAGTCAAAGCTTTTTTAAAGCAAAATATCCCACTTCTAATATTTAAGAAATTCCTTCTAGACACTTGAAGATGCTCATGTTACAGCAGACTGTGGGAATGCCCTTCAGTTCCTTACACATTAGGTGTCTAATAAAGCCTCATGTCCCAGTGACAGAAGCATCTGGCTCTTCTTTCCTAATCAATAATATTCAGCAAAAGTCCCTTCTTCTAGAAGCAGCATAAATTATCAGATATATGCAAATAGACTTGCTAATGTTAATTGCCAGGGCTGATTGGTGATTAATTTTTTGATTATGATCAATCATTCCACACGAATTTTAATAAGACATTCAAGGTAATCTGCAAATTGATAATAATTAGGGCTCCCAACTGGTAATGCACCCACAGCCAACTCTGACACATCCCTGGGATAACACAGCCCTGGGATAACACAGCCCTGGGAGAGATAACACAGCCCTGGGACTGAGCATGGTCCTGGAACAACATTCTCCAGGCTGGAAGAGAGAAGAGAAAGATCAAAGCCTCCACATCATATCTAAAAAAAGCTCCTTTTTTGCCATTTTTAAGTAAGATGGGCTATGGTGCCCCCTAACACAACTGGCCACCTTCCTTGTGTCCCTCACATGGTCAGAAATTAAATGGGATTTTCATTTACATGACAATGCTTTGGAAACATTACCCCAGTTTGCAGACTGCCAGCCATGAAAACAACCACAGGATCCCAAAAAACCAACAGAGGAACATCTCTCAGAACAGTCCTGCCAGACCTGCAGGGAACATGGCCAGAGGCAGGATACAATTAGAATTTCAGAACAGAAGGTTCATGTAATGTCTTTCTTTTCCTAAGGCAGAGCAGGCAAGAACATTCAATTTCCAGCAACAAGAAGAGGAATGTTTTCCCTCTGTGACACTTGTTTGTGTACTTTAGGGGGAAAGGTCAGTAAATATAACAGCTCAAAATGCAACATGATTAATAATATTTCCTTTCCAAGGGAATTCCCTTGCAAACATAAATATCCCCCCACAACACTTTAAACCCAAACACTCCCACTGTGCACGGACCAGGACTGGAGAAGGATGTGAAGTTCTCCAGATGTGCAGACCCAGTGCTGGACTTTGCTCTCCATCCAGAAGGACAGACAGGCCTCGACACTGTGAGGAGCAGCTCAACAGCCTTCACCTGCTGCCAGAAATGAGGGAATGCCAGGGCAGGATCCAGAGGAGAGTCCACTGAGAGCACATTGTACCTCAGCACTGCCCTGTCACGTCCAACTAATATCCAGGCTTTTGAAATTCCTGTCCCCATGGCCTAAATTCTGATTTGCACAAAATACTCCTCTTTATGTGTCAAGAGTGGTGCAAAGGAGTTGGAATATAAATGAAAATAAATCCCTGAGGTCTACAGTTCTTTCAGTGCTGCCAAATGGGCCATTTTATGATGAGGTCCCAGGTATTTGCTCCTCTATTTGAAGAGCTTGCAGTTAGTGCAGTGCAAGTAGCTCAGCTTTTGTTTTCATTAAAAAGACAGAGTAGGATTGGCCCCTACTTTTATGTTAAATTTTCTGAACAGAAGTTAGGTTTCAGTTGAATGTTATTTTGCACAGGAAATATCTTCTTCCTGAATATGTCATCTTTTCAACAAGAAACTGAAACGTGGTTTTTACAAAAAGTGCAGCTTTAAGTGAAGCTTTTCAACAAATAGGAAAATATTTTCTTTTCCTCCCAACAGTTTCAATAAGAAAAAAAGCCCAAATTATAAAGAAGTGTATTCTTGCTTTCTTTCCTTTATAG